TTGGCTTGGTCTGGCTCAGGATAGAGACCAGTGAAGGGCTCTTGTGAACACGATAATGAACCTTCGGGTTCCATAAAATACTGGGAAGTTCTTTAGTAGCTGCACAATTGTCAGCTTCTCAAGAAGGGCGCAACGGATCCCCACGGCCATTAATTTCGGTTGTCTAGACCGGAGCCGCTATGTCCTTGAAATAGATCCTCAGTTACCCTCACTAGGCTGAATGGACCCCCTTCTAGACCTAGTACTTCTCAGAAAATCTGGTAGCGCCAGCAATCGAACCCGAGACCTCTGTATTTGTAGCCAGGGACTCTGACCACTAGATCACAGAGGTGGTAATATTACATGAACATAGTTAAATAAAAGTTTATTCCAAAATGAGTATCAACATTTAAGTTAACAAAAAGTGAAATTATTTTTGCGCCATCCAATAGCATTATTATTCGCCTGCTAACCTCATTTTCAAGCAAGAATTTATGTGGCGAATTAATCGCCTGCTTTCCTTTGATACCACATGGTCCACATAGAAAACGGCACCTCAGGCAGTTCTTCGTTGCCGCGATAACGTCTTTACCGAATTGTTACCTGGCAACTATTATGGGATACACAGACAGACGCATCCAACAATTATTTTATTGTTTCATGTATTCGTTGCCTCGGGAGAGTGTTTACCGAGCCGTTGCCTAGCAATAAAAGGAGACACACTTTACCGAGCCGTTGCCTAGCAACAATAGGACGGAAACATACAGACACAGACTGGTGGGAGGGATTTATGAAGCGCACCGTTGAGATGACCTCGGGTGTCATGATATACATACCAAGTTTCATAAAGACTGGTTCAGGGATTCAAAAGTTGAAGGGGGGACACACAGACACAAAGACAGCAATGTGTTACACGTTAAAAACATCAGAGAACTGTTCTTTATGAGACTTGAGAAGAGAAGTGTGGGTCCTAGCCAGTTTCGGGTAAAGATAAAAGGTAAAGTTGTCTCTGTGCTTAACTAATTGAGCACTACACCATGAAGATGTATGGGGGAGTGATGTATAGATCCACATTTTCTAGTCCTCGGCATTAATTGGAGGTGAATGATCAGCTTCACGCCACGACCGCTTTACCCCCGGCGAAAGAGCCCACGGTACCCATTGGATAGGAGGTTGGGTGGGTACATGGTGATTTTATTTACCGAAACTTGAGATGTGTTCCTCAACTTACATAAATTATCTCCAGTTGTGTGAACATTAATTGCATCATCACCTCATAATGAGTCATGATGTAGATTCCTGCGGTAATTCTGGAGACGAATTTTTATGGTAACAATAAAAGTAATGACCAGTAAACTGTTCTTGCTACACCCACGCCTTTCTTGTTCTAAACTAAAACTTCAGTATAGTTCATGACTATTGAAGATAAAATTATATTAAATTTGAGATAAATGCATTTAGGCCGTGACGCATAATAATTACGATTGTGGAAGACTTTAGTGGTCTCTAAGACGCCATTTTGGAGCCCCCAGCATCTCATATTCCTGCCTGCGCGTGACTGAATCCCACGTCCGGCGTACTCTGCCGTTCACTTAAATACATATCAACTTTCTCTGAACAAAAGATAAGCTCAGAACTTTGTCACCAGTATGCCGACACTCCGGTGGAGACCGCCACTGATAGGCTCGGAACTTTGTCACCAGTATGCAGACACTCCGGTGGGGACCTCCACTGATAGGCTCGGAACTTTGTCACCAGTATGCAGACACTCCGGTGGGGACCGCCACTGATAGGCTCGGAACTTTGTGACCAGTATGCAGACACTCCGGTGGGGACCTCCACTGATAGGCTCGGAACTTTGTGACCAGTATGCAGACACTCCGGTGGGGACCGCCACTGATATGGCACCACTTACATCAATTGTGAACTATGCTACAAGCCGGAATGTCGCGGGTTCCATTCCCGATGAGGTCATTGGATTTTTCAATTGACCTAATCCTTCCAGCCGCACTATGGCCCTGGGGTCGACTCAGCCTCTAACAGAAATTAATACCAGGAATCTTTCCGGGAGTAAAGGGCGGCCGGCGCTTAAGGCTGACAACTTCACCGCCATCTGTGAGAAGATTGTCTAGAATATATGGGGACCTCGACGTCTCACAGCCCTATGGGTATCCGTGGCCTGTTACAGAGACAGCTTTACCTCTTTTTATACCAGTTGCATTTGTCTACGACCATGCTTAGGTGTCTGCGAAATGAATGCACGTGATTTGAAGAAAATATCAGCAGCAGCAAGGAAATTCTGAAAGAGTGTCCCTCCTACAATCCGATCATGTGCCGTTCGTAATGCATGGTTGTCCCTTTATGTGTTGTTTATTTTACACTGTCGCGACTATATAGCATCCAGTTGTTGGATAATTGATGAATAATTAATTGTAACGGATTTAGAAGGGAACCGGCCGTGATACAATGCTGGCTGAGAAAAACCGTGAAAATTTTCAATCATATAGCCCGACCGAGATTCGAAACGCGGTCCTACCACATGATTTTTCCATTCTTACCTACTTATATTCACCCGTTCTCTTGTTTTCTCTGCCATCGCGTTGTTGCTTTATGTCTTCTTCACATGTGTCCAAGCCTTGCTTCTTCAGGCATCTATCTTAATGCACTCGTCCCAAACGTGAATACATCTTTGCATGTCCAGGACCGAGTGTTCCAGCAACATCTGAATAGCGTTTCCTCCATAGCAGTATTTGTTTTCATTATCTCGCCGAATTCATTACCATACTTTCCAGCCGGTTCTTATCTCTGGGACCTTCAGTAATAGATCTGACCTCTGTAAGCTGTCAATCCCACCTCGCCGTGTCCGCTTAAGGCTTTCGAACAAACCTCCCACCTATATATTACTCCTGAATGGCGGATGTCCTGTAATTTAAATCGGGATTCCTGTTAACCCACGGGTCTTATTTCAAAATATTTATACCACTCCACTATATGTGCTGGGACTTTCGAGAGTCGTGAAGATATTAAACATTGTAAATCTCACCCTAACAGAGCAATATTAATTAAGTCTGTGCTGTATGGTTCAGTACTGTATACTCACGGACGTAAATGTATATCACGGTTTTCATGCTTGTGTCCAGTCAAGGTCAGAGTTCCTGGCTACAGATCCAGAGGTCTCGGGTTCGATTCCCGGGCGCTACCATATTTTCTGAGAAGTATGGGGTATGGAACAGGGTCCACTCAGCCTCGCGGGGATAATTGAAAAGCTGTTTCAAGGAAATAGCGGCTCCGGTCTAGAAACTCGAGATTAACGGCCGTGGGGATCCGTTGCGCCGACCACGCGACACCCTCTGTCCGCAAAAGTTGGCATTAACTTCGCTCGATCGGTATAGTTCTCTTGCGAATTAAGCAGCATGTTATGAAAGCGTATGGGAATGGAGGTACAACTCCACGCTTTCTTAACCTCGGCACTAGGTAGAAGTGAGTGGTCAGCTTCTCGCCCCTGTCGTCTTACTCCTGGGGAATTAAACTACAGGTATCAATTGGGTAGGAGTTTCGATAAGCCACAAATCTGGGGTAGACGCTGTGTAGAAGAGCTCTCACACCTACAGGGAATCGAACCCCAATTCCTTTGTTGTCCAGCTTGTGACCTAGTCACTAATTTACTCCTCATATCCATTCAGCTTTCAAAGATCACGTTGCTTCTGTTCCGTTTCGTTCTACAGTAATTTTAAGTGTGATGGAGGTGAACTGCACTCCTCAGGCTTGACGAATATTTTACACTTCATAGAATATGTGAAAGGAAAAGAAGAAAAATGAATTTCACAGTTTTGTTGTTCTGTCATAATACTCAGAACTCCTTATGGATTACCGTGTTATGAAAAACAAAATAATGCCTTCCTAATGAGAAGTTCAGCTTGGAAATGCGTTAGAAAAATGTCCCAGCATACATAATCGAACAATTTCTAGCTTACCATGTTCATGGCATGTTTCAGTGGGCTATTCATTATCCTCAAAAACGGAGTTTAATTTCCAAATACACTTCCTCGTCCATAAACTGTGATTTATAGAATAGTATAAAAGTCAATGCACAAAACAACACTGTGACATCATTTAACATTATCTAAAAAAAAAAAAGCATTTATTTTGTCAGTAAATACAATTTTGTTGCAGCAGTCACGGCAATAAAACTGGTCCAGCAACATTGAATACACAAGAATCAACTTACCAGAGACCATTAGTTTCATGGGAAATGACAATTGAATATGCTAAACGAATCGACTGTCATGCACGCAAATAATTGTAATCTCTTTCATTTGTATTTTGCTGAACAGAATATGACAACATATAAAATACGGTAGATGTATAGAAACGATTCCTAAACTATGACTAGAAGTGTTTCGGGGTAGTCATAAGGTAAAAGGAGGAGCAGACGCGGGTTCTCTTTGTGTATTGCATCATCTAAGGAGAATTTTCAAAATAAAATAGCAGTATTAGTGCCATTGCTTCACTTGTTTGTATTGTAACTGTGTTGTGTTTTTCCTCTGTTTAAATACTTCAAATACGACATACAGTTACACTACAGGATATGTAGCATGCATGGAAGAAGTGACATACATAGAAAATGATTCGCAATAAACTAAACGGAAAGTACCATATGGGACATCTAGTCATACATGGGATGATAATATTAAAGCATTTATGTACTCTGTGTATCTCTTAACTTTAACTTGAAAGAAAGACATCCAAAATGAAATGAGGCCATCATGTGGCGCCTCCATTCGCGATTGTCTGAACTTGTTGCGACTGTCGCGGAGAGAATGTTATGTAGTTTTTGTATACACATATATGAATTAAGTTCAGTTACAAGATGTAACATTTTTCTGGGTGGTTTGAGCACCTCTCACAGAATATAGTTTCCATCTTACATCCACAGTGCAGTTTTATTATCATTGGTTGTCATTATATCGAAAAGACAGTTATGTGTTCATGTCTCACATGTTTCAGGAGGAAATGGAGGATCGGCCACGAATCTCGACCCTCATAAACTCTCTGGCCAACTACAGTAACACAATCCCCGCTGCGACTGATCCTGATGCCAAACCTCAGCCCAGTGCTCGCATGGGCACCCTTATTGGAGTCTACCTGCCCTGCATCCAGAATATATTCGGTGTAATTCTCTTTATCCGTCTCACATGGGTCGTGGGTACTGCAGGCGCATTTATGGGCTTCCTCATCGTGCTGTGCTGTTGCTGTGTGGTCAGTACTTATTTCTACTTGACCCTTTCTGAGCTTCTTTTTATTATTTATAAGAAACCCCCTCTTCTCTTACCGTACCGGGTGGAGCAAAACATTTCATTTTTAGTGGTATAAATTAACATTTCTATGGATATGAATATGAAAGTCTCTGACGTTAAGGGAGGAACATAGACTGAGGGTGCTGAGGAGAATATTCAGACCAAAGAGAGATGAAGTGACATGATGCTGGAGGAAACTGCGTAATGAGGAGCTTCATAACTTGTACTCTTCTCCAATTATAATTAGAATGGTCAAGCCAAGGAGCATGAGGTGGTCAGGGCATGTAGCACGAATGAAGGAATGCATATATGATATTGGTGGGAAAGCCAGAAGGAAAGAGACCACTGGGAAGACCAAGGCGTAGGTGGGTGAACAATATTAAAATGGATCTTAGAGAGATAGGATGGGATGGTATGGATTGGATTGATCTTTCTCAGGATAGGGACCAGTGGAGGGCTCTTGTGAACACGGTAATGAACCTTCAGGTTCCATAAAATGCTGGGAAATTCTTGAAGAGCTGCACATTGGTGGCTCTTCCAGAAGTGCTCAGCTCCAAGAGTAAGACAGTAAATGGATATGAAAGAAATTCATGTAAGCTCTGCAGAGCAAACACAAGTGTGTATATGAAGAGATCTCTTTCTCTCAGTTTATTCATGATATACAAAAATATTTTCCAGTTTGAATTAATTATTTAAGGATGTTTTATTTTGAACAGCAGGGCCCACCTTGTCTTATGGGTTGTGACACCATGTAATAATATAGAATTTTACCTGAGTTTCAGAGCAATATACTGTCTACATATTCAAGGTTGAAGAATAATCCAATCAAGCAGTAGATACCCTTTGACCCTCAAGGTGGAGGAAGTATGTTCTTCCAAAACTCGGTAAATTCCTACCAGACCACATGATATATCACATACCAGAAGACAGAACTCTTCATAGTCCTCACCATGAGAAACTCAGTTCTCAAGTTTGATTTTGGTTTATTAGCGCCAGTTAGTTGTCTGGGTGTTTGATAGCCTAGGTGGAATGAATGATTTTTCGTGATTTGTCTTTAGTTAACCTTAGTTTAGTTTGAGAACAAAGTTCTGATATAATACTTAGACCTAAGAAAGAGAAAATTACATAAATAGGAGCTTGATAATTTGTATTCATCTAATATTTCTAGTGATTATTTTAAGTAAATGAGAAATTGATATCAAATTTCTGTCATAAAATCTGAAAGGAAGAGACTGTATGGTGACCGAAGGATAATTTAAGATTAATATTGATATGATCAATTGCCTTAGAGGAAAAGGCTGTGTGGATACAGGCTTCCTTCAGCAGGCTCAGAAATTAGCCCAATGGCAGATGTCTGGGAATATGATAAAGAACATTCACATTTCATAAAAACATGGATTTTCGTAAGACTGTGTTCTGAGATGTGATGATGTGTAGTTTTGGAGATAGATACACATCTGCCTATGCTGTCTACCAAACTGCGCATCATCGCATCCCAGAACACCATAATCTTAATACTGATTGCTGTGAGAACCTCTAATCTCACAAGCAGTTGCTTGACCATCTCAGTAGCTACAAATTTTTAGTCATTTCTCTGCATATTCTCAATATTTTCCTAAAATAATGAAATTTTAAGGTAAGAATATGGAAAAAGGGACAGAAATGCATTTTCATATCCCAGTGAATGAAGCCCAATGCCACATCAGCAGGAGATGATTATTGTGGACTAAAGCCAAATGTCACACTGTATGATTGTGGATTAATAAAAAAATTATGTCCCTGTAACAGCCCATGGAGGTCCATAGGGTTGTGAGATGCCAAGGCTTCTACATTTTCTAGACAGTCAGCTAACAGATGGAGTTAATGTTGTCAGCCTTACACACCTGCCGCCCTTTACCCCCCAGGGAGATTCTTGGTACTCATTTCTGTTAGAGGCTAAGTCAACCCTAGGGTCACAGTGCAGCTGGAAGGATTAGGTTAATTGGAAAATCCAATTACCTCATTGAGAATCGAACCCTTGTAGCATAGTGCCTCAACCAGAGGTTCGTTCAAATTCAATCGCAGAATATCGCAGAAGCAGGATTAAGGATGTCCCTCCATCTTTGAGTTGGTTAAGTGTTCCAGGCAATTGATTTTATCGTTTGGTTACAGACAATGTTAACAGCCATTTCAATGAGTGCCATAGCAACGAATGGAGTAGTCCCAGCTGGAGGTTCCTACTTTATGATCTCAAGGTCACTGGGGCCAGAATTTGGTGGTGCTGTAGGAATGCTGTTCTATACCGGCACCACACTAGCTGCAGCTATGTATATAGTGGGAGCTGTTGAGATAGTTCTTGTGAGTATTGGTCGTGGCATTGTCAGGGTGTAGGAATGCCCAGGGAAACATGACAGCTATATTTTTTTAAAACCAACATCAAAGTGTTTCTGATTTATGATTATTTCTCATGCATCATATAATTTCATTACAGACATATATGGCACCAAGTTTATCAATTTTTGGGGACTTCACTAAAGACGCCAGTATTATGTACAATAATTTCCGAGTCTATGGTACATGTCTTTTAATGATTATGGGCCTCATCGTGTTCGTTGGTGTCAAATTTGTGAACAAGTTTGCTACAGTTGCCTTGGCCTGCGTACTATTGTCTATTCTGGCTGTATATGTGGGCATCTTCGTCAACATCAATGGCAATGACAACCTCTTGTAAGTCCTCTTCTATGAATATATGTCATATGTTCATACGCTAAGAACTTTCCCATTTTGGTAACTGTCTTCAACATCAATCCTTGTTAGTTTTCAAAATATCACATCTGATATGGCTGACTTCCTGAGAATTTTTTAATTTCATTTGCTCACCATGAAACCCTCAAATCTTATACTAAGAACTTTAAGCAGCTGAAATAGGCACAATCTGGGCCACGTCAATCAATATAGCAACTTCAAAATACCTCTTCATTACAGTAATGACACATAATAACCTTACCATACTGTCATTTAATAATGTAAAACGTAATTTCTTTTTAATGTTTTAATTTTTGTCGTTATACAAATTCTAAATTATAAAATCATGATTACAAATTGCAACACACTCTCCTAGCAGCAGCTGGAATTTTGACAAATTAACGAGTTAAGCGTAGCATCCATGTTCTTTGTTAATATGTAAATTTATTATTTTAATTCGTCAGTAATACAATATATCAATTAAAATACTGTGAAAACAGTCTGTCAGAATCATCCCTGAATTAGCTAGAATTTAAATCTTTATTTATTTAATTAATTACAATACTTTCATATTATTTTGATGCTATTACTTCTTGACCATGTATTTACAACTCTTTCTCTCTATTATGTAAGAGAACAAATTCATAAAGACCATATTATGAAACTATAGAGACATTCTTTGACAACTCTAGCATATCTGCCCATGATGATAATTTTTGTTCTTTGACTGCTGTCACTGTGATCAATGAATGTCAAGATGGTTTACTTACAGCACAACAGATGTTTATGTACCATATATGGAAGATTTGTGATAATTCTCAGATGTATATTCTGATATTAAAGTTAATTTTTATAGATATTTTGAGTATATAAAATTGGTTAAGATTCTACTATGTATTGTTATCCAAATGTTAATAAGGCAAGACTGACTTTAATACACTGCATCAAGTCTCAGCTTGTATTTCTTGTGTTGTTGGTGCCACTGTTGTTTTTATTGTTGTTATATTATTATACAGACAAAAAAATTGACNCATATTCATATTCATTTGCTATTCAATACTTTCATCCTCTTATGAGAATTTCCCTCATTTTTTTTAAGTAGATAGTTGTTTCTGACTGGAAGTTTGTTAAAATAATTGCATTCTTTATAAGGTTCAGGCTAATGCATGTCTTGATGTCAGCTGATAGGATAGCCTGAATGATTTAAATTTATTCTAAAAAGAATTAAGATAGAGTTCAGTACCAGTTATAGTCCATCATGTATAATTAAGTAGTGTTTCTCACTTTTCAGCATGTGTGTTCTGGGCAAACGACTCCTGAAAGATATAAGTATAAACGACTGCCACAAGAGATCTTCTGGTCCTTTATATCAGATTTTTTGTGGAAACTCATCATCTGAGGGTGCAGGTTCTTGTGATCCATATTTTGAGGCAAATAATATTTCCAAGGTTCGTGGTATCAAGGGCTTGTCCAGTGGAGTATTCCTTGGTAAGTTATATGCTAATAAATATCAAGATTATGATGAGGTAGTAAGCCCATAACGTACAGTTAAGTTTGAAAAAGATATGTTTTATCATACTTTTATCATGCTAGACACAGTTCAACCTGACAAAATTGAATGTGTCTAAACTGATTAAAATGTTATAAGTGTCGTTCTGATGCTGTTTCAAAAGAAATTTATGACTTTTACATATCTGCACAGATAACAGCTCTATGTTTGAAACTGTGACATCTGAAGGATAAATGCGAAACTTCATTCTCTGTTTTCATGCAGAAAGAACGGAAGGAGATAAAGGTGCAAAAGGAATAAAAGAAGGGAAGATATGGATGAAGGATGAAGATACAAAAAAAAATCTTTGTTAACTTATACACTCTTCATTCAGTATAGTGATTAGGCTATGAATTGGACTACCAAGGATTTGGTGTTCAATTACTACAGAAGCAGAAATCTTCTCTTTTCCACAGTGTTGAGACCAACTTTGTGACCCACCCAGTCTCCTGTCCAGTGGGTACCAAGGAACAAAAACCTGGGGCATTTAGCTGACCACTTACCTCCATCTAGTGTCAAAGTTAAGCACACATAAAATTATACCACCAATCTCCCTTACTTTGTCATGGTGTCGTGCTTAATTAGGCACAAGGACAACTCTATGTTTGCCTTTTACAAAACAGTAGCCAGATAAGTGCCATATATATAAAATTGTACCTAACTCCAGAATTCTGGAAAATAAATGAGGTGACAGCAGTTTTGAAATGTTATGTGTTGGACACTAAATTTAAAGATGACTTTGTTATTGAATTTCAGATAACATCCAAGAGAGCTTTCTAGAAATAGGTCAGTTCATTGCACAGTCCAAAGATCCGGACGAAATTGAGCCACTGGATCGACCAGTGTACAATCAAGTTTTTGCTGACATCACAACATCTTTCACAATTCTCATTGGCATCTTCTTTCCATCAGTCACAGGTATCCTTATAAATCTTGTAGTACTATATTCCTAAATTATATGTGAGAAGAGCACTTTGAGTTGCATAAGTCATCTTTTGCAAATTGGTTGTCCTTGAAATGTGTATCAGCACATAGAATTCCATCGTTTATGAAGGAGAAATAAATTGAGCATTGCATCTTACACTTACAGAATCTGGTACTGCCTGCTGAAGAAGTATGTTTTTTTATTTTTCTCATTTTATTTAGGAGATGAACAGCAATGATTGCTGACATCATTATATAACTGACATAAAAAACAGGAAAGATTTTTATCTTCATTGGTAGATATTTGCATTGTGCCCCTGGAAGTACGTATTATATCATAAACAGGTAGTTGGTTTATGGACATAAGTTCATTATTTTATAAGATTTGAGGTTATCACAGTAGTGACTATGAAGATTACTGTATTCTGTGACATGATGTCTGGTAGCTTGTTTCCAGAAGTTAAGAGGAACCTGCTGCCCCATCTTCTCTCACCATTTCTGAGGAATCTACTTTCTTTATGTAGATTCTAAAGGGTCCTAGCGATGTTGTATAACACTCACAGATACTGGGGTTTTGGACCTTGTCATCTGCTATTCTAAAAACTAAAGAACACCGTGTTTTGGAATCTGGATCTGTTTCTGTTCTCAAGTGAAAGGAGAGACACCTACTTTGTTGGGTTCCATAGAAAGAGCAAACCTCCTGTGACTGAAGTTAGCTTTTCCTAAGGGACCCAACAGGGTAGGTGTCTCCCCCCTCACCTGGTGATGGAAACAGATCCAGTTTCTGAAACGTTGTGGTCTCTAGTTCTTTGAATATCAGATGATGAGTAAAGTCCAAAAACCCAGTAATTCTGATTACTTCCTTTACATTTAGGATGCCCTGAAAATGGCAGCAGCAGGTTCCTCCGAAACATCAGTAATGATCTGCCAAACTGTGTCATATCACTTCAAGAATACAGTAATCATCAGTTCATTATGGTTTATTTAGAGATGGTATCTGTAGCTAATACTTGCAAGCATTGAATGGTGGAATGATTACTAAATAATGAATTGGGAAGGATGTAGAAGGGAGCCGTCATTCGTTAATTTAAGGTACTGTATTTAATTTATCTAGTGGTTGAGGAAAACTAGGAGAAAGCTCAGTCAGGATAGCTGGTTTGTGAGCTGAGATTTAAACTCAGGACCTCCAGTATACAAAACGAGAATGTTACCCATTCAACCATGACAGCCAACAAGTTGCCTTATATGGTAGTGCTTATAACTTGTATTATAGATGTGCTTGGTTTAAATCCCAGTTAGGACACTGACTATCCTGGTTGAGGTTGGTTTGTTGGTTGGTTGGTTTCCTAATTTGCTCCAGGCAGATTATGAAAGAGTACCTTATATTATGCCACAGTCATGACCTTCTTCCTACCCTGTTCATTGTTCACTGTCATTCAATGATTTCAAGCTGTGTAGGCTGTGTTACTGACACTGTCATCAAAGGAACTTCAAATGAATAAAATCTGCTGTGATGTTCAGTTTGTGCTCATGAAAGCGTTAAGTTGCTTTTGGTTTTCATTGTAGGTATCATGGCTGGTTCCAATAGATCTGGTGATTTGGCTGATGCACAAAAGTCAATTCCAGTAGGGACCATCTGTGCCATTCTGACCACTTCCACGGTGTATCTGTCAGCTGTGTTACTGTTTGCGGGCACTGTGGACAACCTTCTGCTCAGAGACAAGCAAGTGATCATGTGTCAAACAGCGTTGTGCTATAGTAAATTATATCTATACCCGACATCTAAGAAGTTACATACTAAGAAACCGAGCAGTCAGTTAGCATCAGCGCCAGCTCCGCTTGCAGTTTATACTCTCATACTGAAGAATAAGGGGTTATGCGGTAACATAGTTGGTTGAGGCACTATGCTACAAGCCGGAAGGTCGTGAGTTCAAGTCCCAGTGAGGTCATTTGATTTTTTCATTGACCTAATCCTTCCAGCCGCACTATGGCTGTGAGATCGACTCAGTCTCTAACAGAAATGAGTATCAGGAATATTCTTGGGGGTAAAGGGCGGCTGGCGCGTAGGGCTGACAACCGTGCCGCCATCTATGAGGCGATTGTCTAGAATAGTGGGAACCTCAACATCTCACAACCCTATGGGCCTCCACAGCCTGTTACACGGATACCTTTAATTACTTTACTTTACTTTTTTTACTTACTGACATTTAAAAAGACGTTTCCAGAAAAAAGGTAAGAGTCAGAATTACTGGATTTTTGGACTTTGTCCATCAAGGACAGTACATGGATTCACCCTCAGTCTTTATTTATATAACTAATCACCCTCACCTGTCATCTGGGGCTGATACAATAGGCCAGAAGTGGCCGCAGTACAAGGGACTTAGTCCCACCCCACTAGCAATAAAAAAATGTCTACTTGCAGGAGCTGGGATAGCTCAGTCGGTATGGCGACTGGATAAGGGCTAGATATGCAACAAAAACTGTGATAAAGCACACAGAGACCTGAAACTAAGATAGAAAAGGAGGTGAAAATTTTATACAACAAATCTAGCCAACAAGCCAAGTCCATGAAAACAAACGCATAGGATTAACTGCAGAATTGTAAAACCATTTTGGTCTTGAATTCAGTATAAAAAAGAGAGAGAGAAGACATCAGTTTACTCCTGGAAAGAACTGAAGTTTCTAAGAAAGAGGAAATGGTTCAAATCTTGGAACTGTTTCTCATATATTGGATTTGAAGTTTTTACAGCGGTGACTAGGAAGAGAACTATCATGGGATGTGTTGCCATATAGTCTACCAGAACTTCATTAACATTTAAGAGGGATATACTGTCTCCATCTGTGAGACCTAAAAGTATGAGTATGAGGGGTGAGCCATAAAAACCACCCTTGCACTGCGACAGATCTAGAAGTAAGCCAAGCAGACAACAAGCAAGAAGCAAACAGCAGTCAAAACTCTGAAGATCTGAAAATGGAGACAGTACGTTCCTCCAATATGTTCTTGAAGTTCTGTCAGACTACATGTCGTCTCAACCCAGCAGGCAGTCCTCTATATTACTTTTTGTTTCTTTTCTACATTTTATACAAGCTTATTTATGTTTCAGAAGAATATATTACCTCTTTTGGGATTCAAGAATAAGTCAAGCAGTTAGCAAGCAGAACACTGTGCTTGGCTTAGTCTTCAACCCTGAAGAAGGAGGCAGAATGTTCGTCCAAAGCATCAATAAACTTCTACCAGACTGCATGGCACCACATTCTAGAATACAGTACAAGCGACATTTGCAATTACATTCCTTTAATCTTTGCACAAAGGTCCGTAGGATCACAGAGTAGAACATATTAATGAACAAATTTTAATTGTTACAGGTTTGGTCAGAGCATTGGTGGGAAACTTGTGGTTGCAAACATAGCATGGCCTAACCAATGGGTCATTTTGATAGGCTCATTCTTGTCTACGCTTGGTGCAGGCTTGCAGAGTTTGACTGGAGCTCCTCGATTACTTCAGGCTATTGCCAAAGATGGCATCATTCCATTTCTGTCACCATTTTCAGTGTCATCACAACGAGGAGAACCCACGCGAGCTCTTGTTCTCACAGTTCTGATTTGCCAGTGCGGCATACTATTGGGCAATGTGGACTACCTCGCTCCCCTCTTGTCAATGTTCTTCTTGATGTGTTATGGCTTTGTGAACCTTGCCTGTGCTCTCCAGACACTACTTCGAACGCCTAACTGGAGACCCAGGTTCAAGTACTATCACTGGTAAGTCATGATAATATTCAATTCAATTCAGTTCAGTTCAAATTTATTCTTTCTTTTTATTCAAATTATTGACATGGGGTATGTGTTATATACACAAATACATGAGTAAAGGTAACATAAATACTGTAGGTCAGCAAAGTTCCTTCCTACTACCACAGAATACAGATAGCAATGCAAAAAAACAAACCAACTCCTGTATCATAATCCTCTAATTTAACATGACATATATTCATCTACAGAGTAAAATGTATGTTGTAATGGGTAGGATCTCAGCTATCTTTCAAACTGTTTTGTTTCTTCCACTTCCTGAACGTCATTTAGAAACTTATTGCATAATTTGATTCCCATATTTATTATANATATTCATTACACCTTTCTTGACAGCGTCAGTTTTACAAAACTGAATAGGAGGTTCAACTTTTGGTGTGTTATGATTATGAATTATGATAGTACAGTGCGTACAATCAAGTGCGCGCCGCGGCTGCAATTTGCCGTGAGTCATACCACCGCAGAACGGATGCAGTCGCAGGGAGGAGTTGCAACACTCCCCACGACTGCATCCGTTCTGCAGTGGTATGACTCACGGCAAATTGCAGCCGCGGCGCGCACTTGATTGTACGCACTATATATTGTGGTAAGTTGAATTAAGACTTGATTACTCCAATCATATGCTGTGCCATAGTTCATGAGGTTAGTCATCAGCTTCTCATCACAAAGTCCAGGTTCAATCCCAGGACAGTCCATATGGGATCCTTTGTGACAGAGGCAGTTTTCTCTCCAGGTTTTCCCATTCCACAACTAAGCAGATTGTCATTGACTCATATTCTGGGGGAGGGGTATGCACACTGCTCACTGCGTATTATTATTCTGACAAGTTTAGTGTTTTAGTAGTATTAATGTAAAGTCTTTCTAGAACTGTCATGAGGTACTGAAATTAGAAAATTCTAACAAAGTTTATTTTTGAAGGCAGGAAGTGTTAGATGTGCTTATTAGCTTTTTCATAATATTAGTGTGACAGACCAGAATGAAACAAATAAAATTCTAGAGAACCCAGTATTTTGGAAACTGGATCTGTTTCCATCCTCAGGTGAGAAAGGAGACACCTATTCTGTTAAATCCCACAAGAACCTAACCTTAATCACTGAATAACCAATGTCAGCATAATTACAGCTATGTAAATACCTGAGACCAAGCTCTGTCAAAGGGAGATAACAAGAAAATGTCCAATAAAAATTGTGATAAAGCATGCATAGACCTGAAAATAAAATACAAATACAAATGCAAATGCAACAAACCAATGATTTGAAAACCAATTCATAGGATTAAATGGAGAATTTATAAAACCATTTTGTGACTACCACTAGCGCCATCTATGGAATAAAAACTGAACACTCAGGACTAAAGCCTTACAGAAACACATGAAGAATTTCTCACATCATTGTCTGTGAGTTGGTAACATCATTGCTGATAAGGGGGTTCCATATGGGAGAAATGTCAAGACGGGGTTGGCAGATCGGATTGGTTAAGCATTCCATATGTGACTATTCCTTATATTTCCTACACCTGTTGCTACTTTCAGTTTCCAAAATCCTAGCTTCATCCCAGCCTATCCTATGACCCTCATCATAGGCATGTTGGGCTAATTTTGATGATCCTAGAAGACCCTCTTTATGATTGTGCCTATGTTCATGAAGCTGCATATTATCTAAATCTAACAATTTCCTGTTGGAATTTGAGCAGACTCTATGTTACTTAGTATTTTTCGTCTTTCCAGGTCGCTGTCATTCCTTGGTTTGTCGCTGTGTATTGCTGTTATGTTCATGACAAGTTGGTACTACGCACTGTTAGCCATGGGCATGGCAGGTTGCATCTATAAATATATTGAATACAGAGGGTTAGTAAGATGTAGAATTCATATAAAATTTCTTCCTTTAGGGTTTAGTTTATTGAAGACAGTACATCCTTACAAGGTGTTGAAGTTGCTGAAATATGGTCAGTGGGTAGAAGTAAAAGGCAATATGCGATAGAGAACAGAAAGAATATACATAGGTATAAAAGGAGTGCTTATAGTAGGGCGCCGATGATCCACCTTGCTGGAAACAGCAGCAGAAGATGATTCAGTAGCTAATCATCAGAGACATCCTGAATAAAATATAAAGAAGTTAGAAACATCATCATTTCAACTAATTACCGGGACCATGGATGCTTCACAATTTTCAGTTATCTATATCATTTCTTAATTTCTGTGTAATTCTAATACTATTCATCACTTGAGTATGTTACTTTGATCAGCATTGTTCTTTGGATCTCTTGCAATTCATTCATAATTGCAGATCTTTTTTTATGCATTCTATTTATACAGTGAGTTTTCCAGCCAATGCCACCACGATACAAGCTTTTGCATTATGGGTCAACCAGTCTCAACATGAGGAACATCTGATTCCACTTTCTGGGAGTGCACTCCAAAAGAAAACTCAATATCCACTATATTCTTTCAAGATGACCAAATCACAGTAACTTTATTATCTCCTTCAATGATGAGGAGTCTAGTAATAAGGCCAGAGACATGCACTTCTGAGGTACCCAGTTTGAATCTTAGTTGGGACACAAGTTATCCTGTCTCTAGGCCATTACCATTTCATTTAAATGCTTATCTACTCACCATTCACGATATTTCAATCGTATTAGACACTATATAACCTCTGCATTTGAAACATCATCTTCAAATAACACAAGGAATCAATGTTCCTGACTTCTTTAAATACCTACACTCTCTCAAATTATATGCCAAGTTTGTGAATTTTCTGATAAAATTTTATTCTGTTTGCAGAGCGGAGAAAGAGTGGGGGGATGGTATCAGAGGTCTGGCCCTGTCAGCAGCGCGCTACAGCCTCTTACGTTTGGAAGAGGGGCCCCCACACACCAAGAACTGGCGTCCACAAATCCTCATACTTTCAAAGCTCACATCAGACCTGGTGCCAAAGTACCGCAAATTATTTGCATTTGCTGCTCAGCTGAAGGCTGGTAAGGCCAATGTTGGACTCAGTTCACAAAATAACACATTATCAACCTCATGCCCAATTTACCTCATCCTTCCAGCTGCACTATGGCCCTTGGATAAACTCAGCTTCTAACAGAAATGAGTACCAGGAATCTTGCTGCAGATAAAGACCGGCCGGTGTGTAAGGCTGACAACCTCGCCACCATCCGTGAGAGCTGATTGTCTAGGAAATGTGGGAGCCTCAATGTATTACAACCCTATATGCCTCCATGACCTGTTACAAGGACAGCTTTACCTTTTTTTTTTTTTTTTTTTTTCTTTTTNTTTTTTACACCACATCAACCCTTACATGTAGTGGGCCTTACCACATTGGATTTATAATGTTGTAGAGTTGATTTGCTGTATCTTGATTGTAACCCTTACATGTAGCAAGCCTTACCACATTGGATTTATAATGTTGTAGAGTTGAGTTGCTGTATCTTGATTGTACAGAAATTTAAAACTGCATTTTGCAAAGTGACAGAGGTGGCAGTAGTAGTGAAACTTCATCCTTTTGGGCATTTTTGGCACAACATATGTAAAGTAGGGAGGTTTTATCTAGCCATCCACAGTCAGAGATTCATGCTACATGAGACAGAAAAGTCTGATCATGACACTTGAACTCAGGAATTATTATTTATTATCACTGTTTATTTAAACTGCAAATTGGTTTTCGCCTGGTGGCAGTGGTACTAAAATAAGACACAACACGCAAATAACATACCACACTCAAACAAAACAGCACACAAAACTACACAAACAAGAAAGGACACACTAGCACACAGTAAATACAATGAAAATACACTTACAACTACAATTATATAAATTAATATTAATAAAAGAATAAGTATACTACACACTAAACAGTAATAGAACAGGAATGTGTAATGTAATCATAGAGCACATACAAATATTTTATCAATGTGTAAAATGTAGTGAAATGATGGTTTCCAGGCAAGGGCCTTACTATCTGTGTATCTGTGATCAGAGGAGACTACACTCGGGGTGTTGGAGAAGCAATGGCTGCAAAACAGAGCCTGCGACGTACCATGGATGAGGAGAGAGTCAAGGGATTTGTAGATGTCCTGGTGGCGCGTAATGTTATTGATGGACTGAGTCATTTGTATGTATACCCTGTGTATCTATTAAGTAAGGAAATGCGTTTTATACATACTTCATAATCCAAAATGTAACTCAGACATGAAGGAGAATGCTGGTGTTTTGTATTTTACTTTGTGTAAAAAAGGATAGCAGTCTTTTTTTTTAATCCTGATTGGCAAATAATTCCTTCTTGATATAATGTGACTGCAGAAGAGTTATATATTCAAATATATATGCCTGTGATGAATATCCTACATACTTGTACATACTGATGCTTTGCATTCCGTACATTTTTATAATTAGAATTTTATACTTTATTGCAATAAAGTAATACATTATTTCCATTACCATCTTGACACAATGGTAATGTTTCTAACTTTTGAAAGGTACCAGATTCGAACTTCATCTAGCTTTCCTGACTGTTTTTTTTTTCGTATTCTCTGTACTTAGATGCCAGGATAATACTTTGAAAAAGAGTATGACCACTTTTCATATATTAGAGGCACACAGTAGCATAGTTGGTTGAGGGGCTATGCTACAAGCCGGAAGGTCGTGGGTTGAAGTCCCGATGAGGTCATTGGATTTTTTCGGTTGACCTAATCCTTCCAGCCGCACTATGGCCCTGGGGTCAACTCAGCCTCTGACAGAAATGAGTACCAGGAATATTCTTGCGGTTAAGCATAAGGCTGACAACCTTACCGCCATCTATGAGACGATTGTCTAGAAAATATGGGAGTCTTCGACATCTCTCAACCCTATGGGCCTTCCAGGCCTGGTATAGGGATAGCTTTACATGCTTTTACTGGATATATGAACTTGTTGATACTAAGGCACAGAATAATCTGTCACCTGGTGCAAGTTAGTACTGACATCCATCAACAGAGGGACGTTTTATTTATATTTTGACACAGATTTCACCAATATTGTATGACTGTCATGTTGCTGGACACAGCAGATGTTCACTACAGTCACTTAATAACTTGAAATCTATATTATAAAATAAGTAGTGTCCTAATGCTGAAGATTTATTAATATGCTTACAGTAAAGAAATTAAAATAATCTTAATACCCCCAGTAATTATAAGTAATTTAAAGACGAGAAGAAATTACCATAAACCATAAGAAGTGATAAATATTTAAATGCCAACAATATTTTTGTAGGGATTGCTCTACTTTTTGTTTGTTTTGTTTGTTTAGGTTTCTTTATTTGTTCCTTTTATTTCTTATTTTGTTCAGTTTTTGGTCTTAGCCCATATATTCAATGAAAAAATATGTCCTATGTTTAGAATCCAGACAACAGGTCTGGGAGGCATGAAGCCCAACACTGTAATCCTCGGCTGGCCATACAGATGGCGACAGTCAGAAGATGAGAAGACGTGGCAGGTCTTCCTGCAGACTGTGCGCAGCGTGGCTGCCGCTCGCATGGCATTGCTCGTTCCCAAGGGTATAAACTTCTTCCCAGACAGTAGTGAGAAGGTACTGTTATCTTGACTATTGGTCATAATCATTTGCTGCACGTACTCTTATCATTCATTCATCTATATCCAATATCATCGCTACATAACCACACTAGATCATATAACCCACAGGAAGTGGGTCCCATACATGGACACCACCAGGATTCTTTTGGGGTGGGGGAACAGATAATTTTGTTACAAAATTATGTTAATATGATGTTGCACATTTTGTATTCAGGATAGCATAATATATTTTCAAGATAATTTTAATTTTTGTAAGAATATTTGTCATATCCCTCCCCCTAATGTTGATGTTTTCCAGAAATCCAGAGAGAGGGGCAGATGCCTGGCTTCAATATCTGTCTAGTAATTTAGTTTGCAGTTTTCTTCTATTGCAATCATACATGTAGAAGATTTTACTTCTTTTCCAATGTTATTAAACTGTGGTATGTTGTAGCTTAAGAATGCACCTTCCAACCAAGTTCTGTCTCATTATGGAGAGTGAGTTACATCCACAATGGTCTGTCATTTGTGGTGGTACAGTCTATGGTGATGAGTTTGTTGTACCCTACTAAAATATTATCCCCCTAGAAACTTTGTAACATATGCCAAAATTAAGATGTTCATAGCAGGCAACGTGGAATGCAAAAGTACTTGCAATTTTGAAGTTTCCATGGAGGCAGTTATGAAGAGTACAGTCCTTCTTGATGTGATGCCATGTAGTCTGGTAGTTTGCAGCAGCATGCTGATCCATCTTCATGTCTGAATAATAAGCCCATCCTGCTTGCTTGCAGTATATATTTCTTTATATTTAATCCACTAATAGCAAGAAGTTATAGGAAGAACTAATCACCTACTTGGGCCTTGATATGAAAGAGCACATAGAAAACACTGCATCAGACAATTCTTCTATTGCTGTATGTGCATTCATTGCCATGGGAACGTGTTTACTGAGCTGTCACCTAGAAACACTAGGGGGAAGGATACACATATGGACAGACAAGAAGGTGATCTTGTAAGCCTCATTTTATTTTTTCAAAATAAGACAAATAAGCTAAAAGTGGGATTGCCTAATATTTTCTCCAAACTCTGAAATAATGGGTCAGAAGAGCCACCTGTGGCTTGTGAGCCACAGTTTGGCCACATGTGCAGTACAGTGTTCGTATTTGTGCAGGTGATTGGAAACATTGACGTTTGGTGGATTGTGCATGATGGTGGTTTGCTCATGTTACTGCCATTCCTGCTGAAGCAACACCGGACTTGGAAAAACTGCCGAATGCGCATCTTCACAGTTGCACAGATGGAGGACAACTCTATCCAAATGAAGAAGGACCTTAAGATGTTTCTCTATCATCTCAGGATAGAAGCAGAAGTGGAAGTTGTGGAAATGGTGAGCATTTACATCTTCTGGAAACAAAACTTTTGATCTAAAAGTTTTATGACCAATATGTGTTATTAGATTAACCCTTTGCACTCCCTGTACTGATTCATTTGGCTCAGGATGTCTGCATGAGAACCGCAAGAGATGAAGAGATTGGCTCATAGATAATCTCCTAGCACAGCATTTCTGTCAATAGATGACATCAAGTGTGACAAATTGTTATTTGGAGGAAAGAAACATGCTTTCAAATGAGCTGTATGCATGGTTGTTTGAAGATAATATAAGGAAGTACTATGGATTTTTCTGTGCAATTGTATTTACCCACAAGCATCGTTGCCATTTCTAGCAGGTAATTATATGACAGAGTTTGGCAGTCAGAGGGTTAAACTGATCCATATATTGGGCATTTTCCTTTTCATTGTTTTTGGTTTTGTGGTTAGAGATTAGTTCCATTTAGTGGGCCCAACAGAATAGGTTTCGTGCTTTTACCTGATGATAGAAATAGGACCTACTTCCAAAACACTGTGTGTTTTTTAACTAAGATATGATATGGTGAAAGTATCCAACATTTTTGTCAGTTTAAATATTTTATAATATTTTACAGTATTTCAGTTCAATACAACATGTCCATTGTCTAAAATATGTTTGATGTGCACAATTTATCTGTTGAGTTACAAACCCAGTTATAATCATGTCATACTACAGTGTATGGTTTGGTAACTGATTACTTTATAAAGAGAGGAACCTGTTATGGTAAGGTTCCATGGACACAGTTCTTCAGATGCATTGAGGTTAAGGTTTCACAGAAAACTAGCTATTAGCTTAGCACTTAAGAATATAAAAATACAGTGTACTGTAATCACATAATTTTTAATTTCAGATGGATAGTGATATTTCGGCCTATACTTATGAACGCACACTAATGATGGAACAGCGTAACCAAATGTTACGAGAGCTACGGCTGAACAAGAAGGAAAGCCTTGGAGTTGTAAGTATTGTATCTTATGATTTTGTTGATATTGTTTGAACAGAATTACTTATTAATATCATTGCAGAGTTGCATGAATCTTATCAGACTCTTTGCTGCCTTTAAAATACAGACTGTTGTATATTTTGACATTAAAAATACTGAAGTCTATAAAATAAGTTCTGGTCTGTTATCATTTTGCAATCACTTTTAGTGTTTAAATGTTCTCACACTTTCAAATAACTCTCACAAAGATCAGCAAATTCATCAGTCCAGAATACCAGAATATATGTTACTTGTAATATAACATATTTAAATTTTACACTTTTTTTTTATTGCTAGTGGGGTGGGACTAAGTCCCTTTACTGTGGCCACATCTGGCCTATTGTACCAGGCCCAGATGATAGGTGAGGGTGATTGTGGAGCAATTGGTGGAATGAAGATTGGCAAGGGAAACCGAAGTACTCGAAGAAGACCTGCCCCAGCGCCACACTGTCCACCACAAATCCCACTTGACCAAACCTAGGATCGAACCTGGGCCGCCGCGGTGGGAAGCCAGTGACTAACCACTTGAGCTATGGCACAGCCAAATTTTACACATACATACATACACACATTTCATTTTATAAGTCCAAAACAAATGGACACGAAGATCGTCATATAAAAAAAACAAATACAAATACAGTAAAACTTGGTTATAGCAACATCGGTTTCTGCGACACCTTGTCTATTGCGTCAAATATTCAATGGTACGAACTAATTCCTCATAAAGCAACTGTTTATATACCTTGCTTAGTACGACATGCACAAATGCATCAACCTCGTATGTAACGTCATTTTCATTCCTGAATTTCTCTGATATGAACATTGAACGTAATTTAGAAAGTGTGTATCGGGCAAGTAACAGGAAACAGATGAAGATAACTGATTACTGTACTCGTATCTAGGTACAGTAAGGCACAACAATTGATGTAATCTGGTGTGTAGGCCTACCTTTAATATACAGTATTAGTGCGGTGTGTATTGTCAGTGAAAAGCGCTGTAATATGTCTTTGATATTACACATTTGGGCAATTCCACGTTAATGTTATGTTAGTCTGTACTTAACTACGTATTTCACTAAAAAATGCAACATTTTAACTCGGTTTTTGGTAGATTTTTACGTGACTAACATAAGGCTACTGTGGAAGTGCCCATTTCGGTTACAACAACATTCGTTTATAACGACACTATTTTTAGGTCCCTTTGATGACGTTATAACCAAGTTCTACTGTAATTTAAATGGTGGATTCATACGGTTCTTCTTTTTAAAATTGAAGTGATAAGAAATTACTAGATTAGGAACAATCTTTGTTTCACATACATTCATGGGCATTACCAATTCAAAGAAATATTTGGTCTTCAAATGATACAGGTTACTGAGATGTTAACTTCAATGGACTGTTTCAGAGAGGCTCACGTTTGTGAGCTTTGGGAGTGCCTGTAATAAAGCTATGAGTTCTAAAATAACTGAGAATCTCTTGATTATTTGAATAATTATGTGGTATTCAAGAAGTACCTTCACCCTTGGACTATTTATATGTAATAAAATAGATCTACTTAGTATAAAAGATTATTAACGCTGTCCAGTGTGATTGATAAATGTTGTGTTTTTTTAATCTTTCATCCTTTACATCTTTCGGTCAGAGCAACCATCTTCAGAAGGACATTATCAATACATACAGAAACTACTATTACAGTGTCATAGATATAAAATATTATACTTTAACAATTATTACAAAGTGCATGAATTTGTTAAAACATTTATAAATTATTACAATTAGTCTATTTACAAAGTTTGTTTAAAAATTTCTTGTTAAAATCTAGAGGCAGTTTGGATTATGTCCTTTATAATAATCTTTTTATACTATTACTAGTGTGATGACCAGGACATAATTGGTAGGTAGAAATCCTTCACATTCAGCTTCAATTTTCCTCACATCAGGTGAATTGTTCAGTATGAATGTAATCTACCATGTAAAGTGTAAGAAGTTATGTGCTGGAGAATAGCTATGCAATGTAATATTGCAGTAATCATACGTGCATCAGTTGAAGAAGGAACCATGAAAAGTTCAAGATCATATTAGTGCCTGTTTCAGTGTTCACGAATATTGATTTACTGTGAACAAGATCATTTTCTTTGCAGTGACTGGAGCTGGAAAAATCTTGAAATCCAAATGAATGAAGTGTTATAATGATAAGAGTGATGTGCACAAATTGGCTGTAATTGCTGTCCTTCTACCTCTTTTAATCTGATAATCCTGATCTGATCACAATGAATGGTGGCCTTCTGATCAGTATCATGTAATATTCCTTTTAAGTAAGACCGTAAAGATCAAAATTTTGCCTCACAATTTGTTAACAGCAATCAGTATATCAGTTACTATGAAAGAGAAATGCATGTTTTCGGATTACAGTCTTCTGAAATGCGACACCGCATAGTATATTAGATAGATACCAGCATTGCATCTGCTGTTCTTAAGATGGATGCAGCAGGTTCCTTCAAAATATTGGTATCTATCTACCAGACTTCATGGTGTCATATTACAGAAGACCATAATCTTAATATTCATTGCCATGAGAATCTCAAATCTTATGTATGTGTATATATATTTCAGATATTTGCCTGTTCTTGCTTTGACATATGGTTGCTTTAATGAGAAAAACATGAGACAAAGTACAAACAAATGTTTAATTATAGTAGACATCGTTTAGATAAGGCCAATGTAAAAATAAGACAATTGAATCTGCTCCAGCACGTGTCCAAAATACTTCCTTTTCTTTTAGGTTATAACATGTGTTTAATAATTGTAAATATATATTTGTGTCTTCATGTGACTAATTATGAATAGTTTGTTCCAAAATGCACAGTTCTTACAGCCCACATTTTGTCTTTTCTCTCTTCTTTTTTTTTCCCCTTGGCTACAAAGGTGCAAACTCTAGTAGATTTCAACGATGTTCCATCGGAGGAGAAACTCCCTCTGGTTTGTGAAATATGTGTGTTTATTGCTTCCTTTTAGTGTTGCTTGAAGAATTTTCCCCCAGACTTGGTTATTTTAGGATGATGTCTGTTCATACCCTTCAGTGTGGGGCACCTTCACTGCTGTGCTTTGGAAAATGTCATGCATAAAGGAAATGTACTATAGCACATGTACAAAATAATATGGAATGGGGTGCATTTTGGTATCATTCAAAGTGCATGCAGATAACTGATAGCTTGGAAATTCATGTACTCTCTGGTATAATGTACGTTTACTTGTTTAAGAAATAGATCATATAAAGCGAGAAAAAATTAATAGGCCGCAATGGGTCTGTAGAAATATTCTTTCTGCAGTCGATGGAAAATTTGTCAAAATGTATACAGCACTTCTCTCCACACTGAAAGGTTTACAAGTACTTATAGAGACATAGTTTGAGATCAGTGCATTCAAATATCTGTCGTTCAAGAAGACAATGTATACGTTTGTCATATATGTCTTCACTTCTAAAATGTGATCTATCCTAAAGTAACTTGTTTCATATACTACTCTGTTTATAGTTGCAGCCTCTGTTCCCCCTAACCTTATTTTCTCTATGATGCAGTCTCAAAAGCTGTAGTTGTGCTAAATTAATTAGGGTTGCCTTTCGATATGTTTAATTTTATCCATGAAATTTTAAGAGCTCTTTTTGTTATTATTTAACAGATTTGCTTAATAATGAAACATCATGGGATACTATCCCACAAAAGACTTAATTACTGTTGAGTTTATCACCAGAAGGTGATTGAATTTTCTATTATATCTGCTGCTGACAATGCGTGTAGTTCTCTTTATCATCAGTATCAGTTATCAAAACTTGGCAAATACCGTTATTAAAATTTTCACTTTAAATACTCATACATACATAGAAACATATTTTGATATCATATTGTTATGACAAATTAGTATGCTTGAAACTTCGTAGCACTGATATTCTGTAAATCCTTTCAAAACATCAATTTTGTTTCACTTGGAAATGATTGAAGGTATTCTGGAATAGAAAGTAAACTTTCACTACTTTTCTGAGAATTAATTTTTCAAATGAACTGTTAGGAGTTTTGTCATAGTTGAATAATTTTAGAATCTCAGATATTGAGTATGGGAAGAATGTGCTACAGTTCAGTTTAGAATCTTGTGTCTTCCTGCCTTCTTTCTATAAATCCTAAGATTAAAATATATAGAAATGTTAATGGTGCCTCTGCACATAACTTAATTATCCCTACTGCTGTGGTCCATCCAATATTGAGAAAAGACTTGCTCTTTCGGAAACAGAACTGTACTGTATATGTATTGCACTCAGATAGAGTGCAGACCACAGGTTATAACATGGCCAGTATGCAACCATATCATAAAATAGATCTCTGTAATCATTTTAAATAAATCAAATGTGCTAAATTTGTTCTTTCATTAAGTATATCTGTACAGTTAAGTTTAGGGACATTGTCTCTTCTGCTCAGAGCCACATTGAATTTGAGCAGCTGAAGCTGCAGGACAGTGAAAAGTTAGCGTGAATCATTCTTTAGCAGCATACATATCTTATCCCGACAATATCACAGTGAAAGTAAGGCCATTCGCAATCTTAGGTACTGTAGTAGACTGGCTGTGTAAGGTAAGTGCATAACACTGGAATAAGGCTGTCTGGTTTATAAAACTGGGAAATGTTGGAGTAAACAAGTTAGGGCATGTCTACACGTCATAAAAATCGTGGCATATTGACTGTTATTATCTGCAGATTTTCAGTTCATGAATGACACCTTTTGATACTTCCATATAAACAGTGTAAGGTAGGTGGACAAATGAGCAGAATGATACAAGAATGAAGGGGCATGAAATCTTATAATTTTTGTTTCATTAACTCAAAAACCATAAAACTTAAGGGAAAGTGTATTACGCATAAAAGGTATGTTTCATTTTCCTCCACAACTTTCATTTGAAACATTTCTCACTCAAACAAATATTTGGTGAGCTATCCTCAGAAACACAAGTAAAGTGTCCATTATTGTTTTCCAGTTTTAATAATTAAAACAAATTTTAGAGAAACTCCACAGTATCAAAATTTGATTAAAATCTGTCAAGCTGTTCTTGAGTTGTTACTTGTGGATTGATTGACAGACATTACAAAGCTAATAGATGCATATTTGACACTTCATTATTATGGTGTTATTAAAGCAAGTATAAAATTTCCATGCAAACAAATAAACTATAGGTTACTTTCACCGTGAAGTTATAAAAGAAACATTACTACACGACAGCCATTGTGAGAAAACAGAAATGGAAATTTTTGTCTTCAAAGATTTGGCGCTGTTGAAAGTAGAAACCCATTATACAACACATTCTATAGCATTTTTAATTGTCGATGCACCATAGCCTTTTCTTATCATTTTCCCTTACAGTTCTGAGCCTATGGAATATTACAAAACAAAATCCTTTATCAATCTAGTCATGTTTTCATAATAATATGAACACAATTAGAAGTCCCACTAATTGGTTTCTAGCCAAAGAGTTGCAGTCGAGTGGTATGGTTGCTACCTTTTTGCTCTTAGACAGGCTCTGTATGTCAGCGTTCCCTACAGAACTAATGTAACAGGTATCCACTGTAACTGGGACATCAGAGCCTCATCAGTAAAAACGGATCATGTCATGGGAAGGTAAGATCGCCAGCTGAGCAAGGCAGGATATAGGATATACATCCTAACCACAATAGCCAATTTCTTTTTATTAAAACTTAAAATAACTATGGGTCATTTCCAAATGATACAGTAACAGATGACATATGGAATACATAAGTTTCATTAATGGTATGCTGTGCTTTATTAAGATGCTGGAAATATCAGTTTCAGATCGAATAGCAACTCTAATGCTGCCATTTAATAAGAATATACAATCAGTACCTGTCAGTTTGAGCGCTACTGTAAGGGTAGATATTTCTAGACACGGCATGATGTAGAGAGGGCAGAGCTGACTTCACATGGATTTCCTGCTCTGTAATCTGTGCACATGACTGAATGAAGAAAGATTAATAAAAACCATATTATAATCTCAATTTCTTATCTAAGTTATGCTTTAAAAATGAGAGAACATGTTAAATCGGCCTCTTGTCACAACAGCAGGCATGTCCTCAGATTGTGTGGATGTAGAAGTTGGTCTCCAGATATGAAGTGCAGCTATAAATATACAGTATTAAATAAACCATTACAAAAGGTCAGTAAGGTTTGGTAGTCACTGTCACAAGATGATGGAAGTAAAAATCACTGTGCCTGCCATTTACTGAACCCTGATTTTATTAATCACTTTGAAACATTGTTATTTTAAGATATTGACACTAACAAACTAGAAGAAAATACTTTTTTTGGATAGTCGTATTTCATTCATTTTTATTTCCATTCCTCTGACGTTCTTACGTGTTGTAAGGTATCTGATGTGTATTCTTATTTAATACTAATGCTCGTCATACGCTGTGACAAATGCAGTTTATTTTTCTGCCACTCATAGCATGTTCAGCCCTTTCTCTCTCTACAGCTTACCCCGAAGATCAGAGCATGCCTGCACACTTACATACCTGCCTGGTTTTTGTGATTCATGTTTATCCTTCAAACAAGATGTTTATATTCCCTTGTACAAGTACAAGCTTATGAAGTTTTGCATATACAGTGAAATTCCAGCTTAGTTCTTCTTAATTTGATTAAATACTTTATATAGTGAACATAATTTTCTGGTCCCACCTTAAGTCCAAAATAAACAATGTATTTTTTCTCACATTCAGTGAATATTTATTTTGTATCTAACCCAAATTTAGTGTAAGGATTTATCAAAATTTCAGAATTCATACCTCGATTTAGTGCAGTTATGGTTAAAACAATTATTCATATTTTGACTATGTTGTAATTCATTACATATTAATTTAATATTACTGATTACAAAATTGTATTTATTTGTGTATAAACAGTTTCTTTATGTAAAGAAAGTCTGTCATAATTATGTACAATAAGTCTTTCAAAAAGATATATAGTTTTTTGATGTAATTTTGCATAACCCCTATTTAGTGAAAACCTCAGTTTAATGTAACAAAAGCTATTTCCCCAGACATTCATTAAATAAGGATTTCACCAATCTGGTACTTTTAATTTATGCTGTTGTTAGTGGTCACATTACTCATCAGTTCTTTATAGAAATAGCTTGATGGACTAGAGTTGGATTTAAACATGCAGTGCTTAGATGTACTGGGGGATACATTCCTTCTGTACATCTTTCCTTTTAAATGAACAATTATTTAAATATTTGTTTCAGTGATTACAAAATATAGTATGTTCATTCTTCCATGTCACTTTAAATAACAGTCTCTAAATAGTTTTTATTGACATCTCATGATAAGTATCCTTTTGTAATGTGATGTTAATATTGACCCTGTTTTTCTCAGGTTCAAGCAATTGTGGATCACCATCACAATGCCGATGTCAAGACAGCAACAAAAGTACGCTTCCAGGAACCAGGAAAGGAAGGAGGTGCAGAAGAAGCAGAGGAATCAAATGAAGAGGAAACAAAAGAGGTAAAAATGCAGTGCAAGGAACATGAATATTAATTAGATCACTGAATGTTGAACGCGTATCTTGAACTAAAACTATAAATTGGAATTACATTTTCCATAGATCTTATACAAAACTTGAAGCTTTTACATAGACGAAGAGATAAAATTAGATAACCATTTATGTGCACTGGGCACGCAGTAGCATAGCTGGTTGAGACACTATGCAACACGCCAGAAGGTCATGGGTTCAAGTCCCGATGAGGTCATTGGATTTTTTTTCAGTTGACCTAATCCTTCCAGCCTCACTATGGCCCTGGGGACGACTCAGCCTCTAACAGAAATAAGTACCAGGAATCTTCTTGGAATGTTCTTGGGGGTTAAGGGTGGCCGGCGCTTAGGGCAGACAACCTTGCCATCATCTATGAACTGATTGTCTATAAAATGTGGGAACCTCAGCATCTCACAACCATATGGGCCTCCACGCCCTGTTACAGAGATACCTTTACTTTTACTTATGTTCACTCTCAGCTTTTATTATTATTATTATTATTATTATTATTATTATTATTATTATTATTATTATTATTAGGAAAAGTACTGGTTTGAAGTTAAGATTAAAATTTATGTTAAGCTTAATAGATACAATAAAATTATGGTTGCTTTTCTCGGTTTTCCATTGATTAGTAGAAATATTATTTTAAATTGAAAGTTTAATTAACTCACTGACTGCTGTGCTGCAGCATAGAAATACCAAGGTTACTTGGAGTAAATGCAGTTGCATGGAGAAACCCACAGTTTTCTTCAGATTACATGATGGATCATGTGAGACTTCATTTTTTACTCTACATCACACTTCTTATCATCTTTTGACGTAAATGCTGTGTTAAGTGATTAAAAGCAAACTGATCTCTTCAGCCTTGGCAGTTTCAATATAAGCCAGTTTAATCAACTCATGGAATGTAAAGGGCAAATTTAAGTGGCTCAGCAGGCAGTTAAAAACTGATGAATTTATCTGCTAATCCAAGAGGCATTCAATTCAAGTGTAATTTAATCCAACTACTGACAAATTCACTAGATTGATTAGCCAAATGTGTATTAAAATAGTTAATGGCCATGAGCTGTTATTGCTAGTAGAAACATTGTTCCTGATTATCATATGAAATATAATTCCACCCATTTTAAATTTGTTTTAATTATGATTCTAGCAATCAGAAGAGAATCCCATAATTTCAAAAGATGGCGATGAGGAAGAAAACTCAGTTTATTCAGAATCTCAACCTCAAGATGACAACATACCATTGACTGATGCTAATTTCAAGGACACTCCAAATAAAGCAAACTCTGATAAGTCAAAGAAGATGCCTACAATAACACCGTAAGACTTACTACTTAATTAGATGGTCAAATTACCTTGCCTTACAAATATTCAGAAACTGAAATTGTCTTGCACATACTCAACAACTGAAATAACTTGACCTACAGATATTTAACAGCCAAGATCACTTGCCTTACAAATATGAAAGGTGATAAAATATATATCCAGTGTTCGCGTTCCATTTTTATTCCTGTGGGCTCTTGTTGCTGTAAATGAATGCTTCTTCCTTCCCAGTCATGTTCTTGTTTTGCTCCTCACACTGTTTTTATCATTATTAAATGTTAACTAGCTAATTTAAGATATTATATTTAAGCATCCTGTTACACTCTATACAATATATGATAGGACGGAATTTATATCATATATCTAATTTAAGATCTTTGCTTACAGAGATGAAGGCAACGTCCGACGGATGCATACAGCTGTGAAATTAAATGAAGTCATAGTTAACAAATCCCATGATGCTCAGCTTGTGATTCTCAACCTCCCTGGTCCTCCAAGAGATTCCAAAATCGAGCGCGAGTCCAACTGTATCCTTTCATTACATGTTTATAAGTTTTTTTCTTGATACTTTTTATGCATTTCTGTGTAATGTTCATGAGATGAACACATAATGGAGAAGATAAGCTGTCTGAAAAGTGCTGTCTTTTATGATGTGACACCATATAGTCTAGTAGAAGTTTATTTTATTTCCTATATACCTGTTCCTTACCCATGGAAGTAATATGTTCCCCCAAGAAGTCACTATACGAAGGGGGACCCAAAAATAACCGGAACCAACCTGTTGCGCGCGCATACTTTGTAGTTANATGCTTTGGGGAAATCACAGGTCTACGAGTGGTTTTCCCGTTTCAAATCTGGCAGCATGTCAACAGAAGACATGCCACGCCCTGGGCGTCCTTCGACAGGAAGAAATGACGAAAACATAGCCAAAATCAAACATGCAATTGATGAAGATCGTCGAAAGACCATTGACCAACTTTCTGAGGAAACGAACATCTCATGGAGCATGGTCCAGCGAATTTTAAGATTTGCACATGAGACGGGTGTCTGCAAAATTTGTTCCTCGCTTGCTCGGAGATGACCAAAGAGAAAACCGCATGAATGTTTGCCGCGACTTGAAGAGTGAAGTGCAGAACGATCCAGAATTTCTTAAAAGAATTGTGACTGGCGATGAGTCTTGGTGCTACGGGTACGATCCAGAATTAAAGCAATCATCAAGCCAGTGGAAAACTCCAACTTCACCACGACCGAAGAAAGCGCGTCAAGTGCGATCCAATGTGAAAACAATGTTGATTTGTTTTTTTGATGTGAATGTGAAGGGGGCTAATATACAGTTCAATAAAAATGCAAAAATAAAAAATAACAAAAATAAATTCCGTTTATTTTTGGGTCCCCCCTCGTACTTCTAACAGACTACATGGTATCACATCCCAAATGACAGGACTCTCCCTAATCACCACTGTGAGATACTTAAATTTAGCTGTTTGTTTACATGTTTCATCCCCAGAATTACTCTACAGATATCAATGAAATATCTCCACTTTGTTCCTCTTATGTCCAATTATTTTTCTGGGTATTTTATTTTAATGTATATGCCAATTATCTTCCATTCTCAAATAAAGTATGCATAAAGAATTAGTTTCCTTGACTGCATTTCCTCTCAGACATGGAATTCTTAGAGGTATTAACAGAAGGTTTGGAACGAGTGTTGATGGTACGCGGAGGAGGCCGAGAAGTGATAACTATCTATTCGTGAAGACTCTTCATTAGTTCATCTCCCCACCCTCATCTCTGTGTATTACATCTACATATTGTGCGGCATCAAATTTACTCACTCCCATGGCATATATCTTTGCATTACATGGATTCTGCAAGCTTGCAACATTTTACATTGTACATACTATTGAAATTCCTGCAAGATGTCATCTGTTTTCAGCATTTTGGTTGATATTTCTTAATGTATTTGACTGGCCACTTCAATATTTAATGCTTTTAATGGTACATTCTATTATTTATTATAATAAAATGTCACAATATTTTAAGTTATTTTAGACCACTTTGAATAAAGTACAAAATTATTTTGTATGAATTATTAAAAGTATTTGCCTTGTCTCAGTATGATTATAATCTTTACATTATTATCTGTTTTACAAATCTTTTAGAATGATGTGGTCAAATTTATGAAGAATAAATAAAAATATACATATGCAACTTCCGGTGGGGGGAAATTTTAACACCAATAATGCCGAAAATAGATAAAGTGGTACAATGCTTTTCATGCCACAGGTGTTTAATAATGATGGCAGAAATGGGACATTTTTAAAATAGGGACTGAACAAAGAAAAGGATATTATGAAAAGGCAACGAATGAATGTTTTGTTATTGGAAGTAAATGTGATGGTATGCCGCACATTATGATCATTAAACAACCTCTCTACAAACCTTACAAGTTCATGAACATCTCGTCATCTCCTTGCATCTCTTTTGTCTCATAGAAAGGAAAATAAAAACAGCTCACTTTTTTCTACACTGTGTACATTCATCATAAAGTTCATTCGTGTTTACAAATAGTAGTAGTTGTCATGTGTCCCTTGTAATAGATGTAGAGACAATATTTCTATTTCTCAGCAGCTTTGTTACATAAAAGAACAGTCTTTGAACATAATCTTTTACAAGTAATAAACTTGTTTCAATCTACAGTGGAACTATTCTGTTGGCTGAATTCCTAATGAAATTAATAAACAACTAATTGATAGAGCTGGACAGAAGTATAAACATGTTAAAATATATAAAAGAAATGCACATTTAAATATTTACTAACATGTAAATGCCCATTCACAGTGGTAGCATGGATATAAGACATAAAATAGCATTAATATAGCCATGCAGCAATAACATTGTTTCTTTGTGTGTAACGGTTATAGAAGCAAGCATAGAAGGTCATGAAACAGCTGTATTCATTGGATGATAGAGAAGAAATTCAGGTATTTCTTTTTTATTATTATTTCCTGTTGATAATGTGCTGCATTATTCAAGATTCATTTCCATTTAGCTGTATGACACAACATTGTCCAAGTGATAGCTGACTGTGTTAGTGTTTGTGGTGTTATGAATATAAGTATACATTTCAGAAGAACATATTTATTTATGTTGGCAAATCATGACAAGTTTGAGAAAAGATGGTAAGGAAAACTATGTCTTATATCTGTATTGTAGTTGTGAATGAGATGTAATGGAAGTGTCAGCAAATGAATAGCTCTGTTCATTATCTGGAGAGTTTGTTTAAGAAAGAGTGAACCTACGGTATAATATATAACATAACCTCAAATTATTGAATTCTTATGTCCCATTTATGTGTAGTAGTGACAGAATAAAACCATCAAGTTATTGTGATTGACCAGAGCCATTGCCTCATGTAAACTATGAAGTTTGCTGTTCGATATACCTTAATTATTATAGCACAGCATCTTTGAACTTTAAACCTGATTTCATTTCATTAGGTGTAACACTAAATCAGAACAAGAGACATAATATTAAAAGACTGTATGAATGAGGGATTACAAATTTTAAATATATTCACACCATCATCATTTCGCAGGTTTACAAAGTTAAGTATAAAAATGCTGTTATACATTACAGTGTTGAGTGCCAGAAATGTGATATCACGGCCTATTCAACATCAGTTGTCAGTGTAATATTGAACATTTTCACTAAGTATTTGTAGCATGGTAATTTTTAATGAGAGATATTTAAAAAATATCAGCAGGATTAAAGTCAATTTTAATTAATGACCCTGTTTCATGTTTGGGTATTTATTTTTGACTCTTCTTTCTTTCATTCAAGCAGAGTGTAGCCCCACCAAAGTAGTACAGTTCTTTCAATTCTTGTCTTATGAAACGAACAGAACTCCATGCTTCAAGTAAACATATTATATTATATTAGTGTATATGTGCAATGTTATGAGCTTATGGATCAAGTTCATAACACTGATACTGGTTTACATAGCTCTGTAAATATATAACAGTATCGAATGGCAAACAGACTGGTTGTAAAATGAGAGAATTAGAATACATACATAGTATTAAGATGTTCATAAATGAATTATACATAAGATTTAGATAAGTGGCGTACATATTAATGTGTGTGTGTGTGTGCTGCATATAATATTTGTGCGTTAGATGTCATCGTGTACAAGCAGCAGCGTAACTGTTTGCATAGTTACGTGTCGTGCTTAGTTTTTCTTTTTTATTTGAAATCCTTCTTTGGATACTAAATAAGAAGAAAAGCATTTCTAAGGTGCTTAAAAATCTTAGTAATCAGTTTTCTTGTAAATACTTTAGAACTTGTCATCTAGTTTTAGTAAAGGAAATACAGAAAATTTTTGTATGTATTCTTTTTAAATGTTTTATGTGAAAGAGTGAATCCTGAGCTTGTGATGCGTGTCAATTGAAGCAGCTAGTTCCTACAGTGATTAAAATGGAGTAAAATGCATTCCAGCAATAGCTAAAAATATTCTTTTTAAACAATGATAGGCATTCACATGGGATACCACAGGTGTTCAGTTCTGCCCAGCTCTCAGCTTTAATGCTGATTGTAGCTTTGTTTTGCAACTTGTGTGCAGCTAGAGAAAAAAAGCTTTCCCTTAAAATAAAAATTGGAAAAATCTCTAATCTTTGCTTAGTGTTTTACAGGATAAACAGTCTACAAAAAATCAGAAAGAAAATACATCACAGTATGCAGTAATGGATTATATGTGCAAATAAAAGTTTATCATTCAGAAAGCATATGTATCCTGCTATTATTTGCTGAAAAGTCAAGATATTGTCACTCTCGTCAGGGTTTCAGGTTTGATATTGGATTTATTTGCCATTTTAACATACGGCTCATAATTACACTTAGTTATAGTGCCATCACTAATTTTGAGACTTCACAAATCACTAGAGCACACACTGTCTTTTCCAACCCGCAGTGTCTTCACTAGCAGTTGCCTGGTAACGGCTCCAGCAATGGCTATTCCTCTGCTTCTGTGCTCAGGTTCTCTCTGAATTGTGGCTCCCATCCAACTGTCTATTCTTCAGAGTTACTTTACGACTGACGGTTTACTACCAATCAGTTCATCTTGGCACCAGGCCCCTTGAGGCCCACGACGAGAGATTTTTTTCCTACTGTACTCTTGCAGTAATAGTCCTTAAGTAACATCCTCTCTGGCAAGAAGATGGGTTTGACTCTTATGAATATGCTTGACTTTTCATCAAATGTATATTTTGCACATATAACATGTTATTGAAAATTCTTCCTTTTGCACTACACACAAGTCCTCTGTCAGTACAGGCTTTACAGAGCAGATCATGCCTAAGTTACATACCTTATGCTACAACGGCAGCTTAGTCATTTGAACGGTCGTAAGCTTGACCACTGCCTCTTATATTGCTTCTTCTTTTCCAGTTGTCCTTATAACCCTTGGCATGGACCACTGTAGAAAACTCCGTTTCCAACAGTACCTCCACTGTTGCGCGTGGACTGTTTGCTTGTGATCATTGCCTAGAAACGAATGTTGTTTCAGAGCCATTCACAAGTAAGAGCTGTTTCCCTGCCTCCACACTTCCAGCTGTGAGCAAATATGCCACAATATTATGGTGAATCGGAAGTTCCTTATTCACTGTTTCAATAGAAGTAGAATTATGCTGTTTGTTGCATCAGTGACGTCTTAACATTCTTCTATGCATATGCCCCAGATTCATTCTACTGCATCTCATTTCGGCATTTCTTTTGGGGCCCTCCATGGTTCTAATCTTAGCTCACTCTTGCATTACATTCTAATGAAATGTGCAAGAATTTATGACTTAGGTTCGTAATTGAAAACATTTGAAGTGACGTGCTCAGAGTTAGGCTTTGTGTTTTAGGGATAAAGGCATAGCATTGCATTTATTTAAATGAAATGAAAGTGATACTCATACAAAGAACTTGGACAGAAGGAAACCAGTTTTTAAATTCCAACATTTACCTTGGTTTTCTGTTGACAATATGTCATGCAAATAATTAATTCAAATGTTTAAAATTAAAGGCCTCAAAATTTATGGTAGAGAATCCATGTAGGTATATAAAATATGTTGTTCACTAAGTAAACTGTTCTGTTTCATTTCATAATATTTCACACCCTTAATTGTATTTAATGTCACCCAAATGGGTGGACAGCTCACAGATATTGTAGTGCACTATTAGGTTAAAAGGTTTTCTTTTCAGTCTACTGTATACAGATTTTTACTTCACAGCTTAAGGAAGTAGTATGGAAAGAAATCAAATACTGAAGTGGATTGTAAAACCTCACTTATAATATATAAAATATTATCCACTAATACACAGAGATAGCTTTAGTTTGTAGCTGAGGTGCTTATAAAACGTACAAAGGACACAATTCCTTTATCGACAATACTAACACTACACCACAGATATGTATCCTGGTAAATACACCTTTGTGAATGCCTATATATTTAGTGAAGCTTCATGAAGCCACAGACTCATCTGATTTATTATTTCATAATTTTTCTCTATGAAAAATATCTCTGTTTGAAGTCCAGGATATTGGCTATTTTTGTTTCCAGCTGCAAATTTTCATGCACTTTCTCTCCACCTTATACAAGAATTCCATGATGTAAATTATATAAGTAAATCTGAGTGGTTAGTTTATAACATAGTTTTAAAACAGTGGTTCTCAAAATGACTGAGAATGTTTTCTTAGCCCCAATGAGTTTTCCTGGGCCATGATGTTATCTTCTGGGCTCTGACATGTTGATACCCACCTACCAGACTACACAGTGTCACAACCCAGAAGACCACAATATGAATTACTCTAAGACATGTAATTAATAAATTTCATTTAAATTTGGCACAATGATGAATGGAAGTGATGACAGATTTTGAGAGTAACATTATCTCATGAAGTCTTTCAGATCCATTATAATCAAACAGGAATTAAACATAAAACCTTAGCCTTTCATCCAAAGAAATATTGGGAACTGCTGCTTTACTTTTACAAATTTCACACTTTGGTGTAGTGGTAACACTATCTCCTCATATTCTGGAGGTGCTGAATTCAAAACTTGGTCACCACATCAGTTATTCTGGCAGAGGTTTTCACGGTTTTCCTCAGTCCTTCCATGCAAATGCTAGGATCATACCTTGATTATGTTATTTTTGCTTCTTTCCAATTCATGAATCATCCTATCATTTGATGCCAGAAAGTAACCCACAAAAAAAAAAAAAAGGAGATCTGTTTCTTATGCTGTCCTGTATGATGGGTTCCCAGTTCATGTTTCGTTTATGTAACTGTGTTACTGTTGGATAATATGAGCAGTTCAGAGTGATAATTTAAAACTAAAATTTGAAACCATAAAAATTTAACTTTCTTGTCTGTGATGTACAGTATACAACTGTAAGAACTCTTGACTGAACATTGTACTTGGAAGCTCTGTGTCTGTTGCTGGGGCCTACCATCTAAATACCTTTCATACAAACATATGGAAGTCATTTGTATTACTTCGGTGTCCTCAGAAGAGTAACTTGTTCCGTTATTAGCCTTCAAAAATTAACTATGATTTCTTGAAATAGGAGGAAGATAATTTCTGAAAAAATGTTCATCATTATTTTACTTAAAATACTCTTTTACCAGGTTAAGTGAAATTGTCTTTTACTTAATCTAGTCTTTTATCATGTTAAGTGAGGTCTTAGTAAATTTGATATGGTAATTATGTTTGCTTATGAGGTCTGCAATATTTGGTGAAGACTTGGGAATATACAGAAGAATACAACAGATAGAAATACTTGAGTAAGAAATTTGAGAACCGTTGTTCTGTTTCTTTATTAGTTATACTATTGAGTGGTACTTAACTATGTGAGAAATTCGTTATCTTAATAGGTGTGAATACTGAAGCAGGTCTTAAGATGTTTATCATATTTATATTTCTATATTATTTTTTACATACAGACATGAACATAGGCATGATGGTACTGTTGTAATAGACTTCAATTGTTATTTCTCAAAATTGCAAATAATATCAAGTATTTTTATGCACAACCATCATAAATGTAGGTACCTTGATAGTGTAAAAAAAGTGTCTGTTATGATCAGAATCTCACTGTATGTTATATGGGCATGATACAGAATGTGACTTTATGTAAAATAGTTACCAATTTTTCTCAATTATAATTCATGTAGATCATATATTTAACTTTTACGTAAGCTGTTGAAACTGAAGAGAGATTTAAAAAAGAGTACTTATTTGTGAAAATTATGAAAGAAATGACAGTGTTCAAAATTTAAAGACAATGAATATTTTTTGTCAGAAATGTTATATGATTTTTCTCATAGAGTTTTAATAAGATATAACTGTTGAGAGAGTTATGGATATTTCTTCAAGGAAATATGATAACACACACTTGCTCATATTTGTAACCAAAGCATGTGACATATTAGGCAAAAGTACAAGATGTAGGAATAGTGAATGATTGCTTGTATGTACTAAATAGGGATTTGAAGGCACATTAGTGATTCTTGAAGACCTTAGATTGAGCACAGAGCAGCTTCATAATTGTTAAAACATGTACCTATGTCAGTATGTATAACCAGTTACATATGATTGCAATTTTGTTAAATTTTATTTCCTTGAAGAATGTTTTGTTATGGTTAACATATTCTCATGCTCTAGTCTATGTCCGTAAAGAACTAATGTGTCGGATGGGATGTCTGTGTTGGATTAGTAATCCAATTTTTAATTCATTCATATTTCATGACAAAAGTGAGTTCTCACTCTTTATTTGATAAATCTCCATAACAAGTCCAGTGATCAAAATGGCCAGAATATTGTGCCCCCTTGACCAGTTCATTTCCCTCAAAACTAATCGTTTTTTCTGCAGTGCACATTCATTGAAATTGTATAACTGGGTGCAAATTTAAAATAACAAATTACAGCGAAGTTAAATTTTTCAGATATGACATATGCCTCGTTCTCCTACCGCCAGCATCATATCCACTTTATATGTGTTGACGGACAGAAAGTGTCTAATCTCTTCTTTTTTGCCACAACCTTTCATTTCCGGTTTCTTTTCACCTCTTATTTTCTCTTCTTGATATCTGGGTCATCCCATGGGTCTCCTCTTCTTCTTCTTCTTCTTCTTCTTTTTTTTTTTTTTTTATTATTATTATTATTAAAGTCTACTGCCCATCTTGGCTCCATGGTCAAACCATTATAATTTCTCTTGTGATTCTTTTAATACATTCTGAGTTCCAACTTTGACTCTAAAAAATTACTTCTAATTGTGCCCCTTCTAAATATTATAATGAAGTATGCTGTTGTGCCATGTATTCTGACTTTGTGTTCCCATTTCTTGCCATCTTTTATGCAGCTTCATCCATATATTATGTTCACACCTCTTTGTCTCTTTATTATATACCACTACATGTTTCAGCCTAATTGGCCATCCTCAGGTGTAAAAGATTTTAGGTTAAAGGAACCTGGTGCTCTGCCACTACTCTATTCTTATACACCTGATGATGGCCGGTTAGGCTGAAATAATAAAGAGATGAAGAAATGTGAAGTAGCACAAAGACAGCAAGAAGTGGGAACCCAAAATTGGTGTCCCTTCTTTCTCCCCCCTCACTGCTTCTCAGAAATTTTAATCATGCTCTCATTATCAATAACATTGTCAAAACAACCTTTGCCTTATCATGAAGAAGTGCAAAAGTTGCTACTGATACCACAAAACTGTTGTGTCTAACAATACTTATTGCAGTGGTTTGTAATTGATTATGTATATTGATACTGAACTTCTACATAACCTGACAGTCATAGAGATACTTGGTATACTTGGTGCTCATTCCAAAATCAACATTCTTGAGGTATAGTAATGCTACTTATATGATAAAATATTCTTCACAATATTAATTATATTTGCTGAGCTGTATCCTGGCACTTTCGTAAATGTGGCACAGTTTAACTATGTTAGAAATACTAGAATCTAGCATAATGAAATTTATGTCACCTTTTCCATAAAAATCAACATAGAGATAATTCCTTTTCATAATTCATATTTGTTGAAGCTTTGGGATATGGTTATGTTAAGCAGATTTCCAGTTTTCTCTTTATGTC